GGGAAAGAGGACATCTGCTCGCATGTAAGCAGAGTTGCCAGCACCAGGATCCCAAAGTGTATGTTACAGAGAAGGGACGAGGCAGGAAAGGGAATGAAGAGAACTCTGCTGGTTTTGGGGGGAATGAGTTGGGAAGATTTCCTAGCTGAGTTCTGTACCACCTCTCTGTCTCAACGTATAAACAAAGAGCTTTGTACACATGGTACCCAGGTGGCCATGGTTTATTGGTCCTCTCATTTAACCAGAATCAGGTCATATCAATCATTTATGGTTTATTTTACAAAGGACGGGCTCCAAGCTTTCCTTGAAGCTAACTTTCCAAGAGAATCACCTTCTAATACCAGTTCTGGATTTGAGCCAAAGAAGGCACCCTTGATTCTAATTTTCTCTACAACCTGCTCACCTCTTCTATACCTTCGAAGGAGAATTGAAATGGACAGGAGGAAAAAATATCCACTTCACTGGGGTCTTGTACTCTGTTCCCAGAAGAACCAGGGCAGAATGAGTCTCAGACAGATGCTACAACAAGACAGACATGCCCTTTTATCTTCTCTGTCATCTATTCTTCCTCCTTCATGCTGCTAACTATCTTTTGGAAATAAACTCACCTAATTGTTTTAACAAAGTTACAAATATCTGTGAATGCTTCCCAAGGCTATCTTGTAAGAGTTGCTTTAAATAAACTTTATTTTGAAGTATTATAAACATACAGCAAGATGTACAAATCAGAACTGTAAAGTCCCATAAATCTTTCCCAGAGGGAACGCCTAGATGGAGACACAGAACTTACCCCATGGTTGAGAAGTTCCCCGTTCCCCTCCCAGTCAATACCATCCCCCAACTGTAACCCTTATCCTGATTTCCGGCACAAATAAATTAGTTTTAAGTCTATCTTTAATTTTTTACAGGAAGCATCACTTGACACAAAAGAAAAAAAAAATGTCTACTAGTTCATCTCAAGTGTTAGGGATCGGCCAATGGAAAAGATTTTAAGGCAGATGGATTTCTCAAGACCCATTAGATTGGACTCTTTATATTGCTTCCTCCTTATCAGGCAACCCAGTGGTCGGGCTGAACTACCCTGGTGAGTCAGTTGGCGTTGAACCTCTATGGCTTTCTGCCAATGAAGGGTGGGGAGGGCCCATCAAGGACTCTTTAGAACCAATTTATATTTCCTAATGTCAGATTGAGAATACTTACCTACAACCTCTCCTCCCCCTCAGTTCCCATCAGAGTGTAAGTCATCTCGATGTACTTGACATTACACCTTAGTTAGTGCAATGATGTGGGGTCTAGTGGGAAACGTCTCACGAGGAATTTGTGAATAGAGTATTCTAGAATCATAAAGCCTTAAAGATCTCGAAGAGTCATCTAACGTACACCGTCATGCCTCCAGGAGGACCCTAGGTCAAGCCTAGCAGACTGAAGAGTGAAAACCAATGGCACTGCCAAAGACATAGCAGGGAACTGTGAAATCCATCCCAACACTGGGCTCCATGTTTCACAGCTCAAAGGGATGCTGTTCACGTAGGGAAAATTGTGAACAGCGCCCCTGGAGCTGTGCGATGGAACAGTGCTGCCAAAACTCATCAGACTGCCCTCAAAAGAAATCCCCTTCCATTTGAAAACTTCAGAAGTTACCAAATCATAGTGAGGAGGACAACATTATCAACATATTTCGAAATCAAGAATAGAAAAAATAAATCATTTGGGATAAAGAGGTACCCATGGCACTCAATTATAGTATGGTCACTGGAAAAGATATCACGTTGCCCATTATACACACAAGAAAGAAGATAAAATCGCATCCTCCAAATCACCCTTATTGAGCGTCCATCTGCACCAGTCGCGTGGCCAGCCCTGTGCTAAGAGCTCTAAGAGGGCTAGTGACCGCTGCCCTCAAGGTTTACTATTCAGTGAAGAAGGTAAGACTGATCCATAAAACAGCTGAAAGGGGAATGGCAAGGCTTTGGCACGTTTGTGTTGAAAGGAGCTTAGGACTCTCTTACGCAAGAAACCAGTCAGGGACTCTGGTGGCCCTGGGTCTGAAACCCAAACCTCGAGTCCTCTGTCACAGACCATGTCACACACCACTGACAGCAGGTGAGGGGAGGGCCTCCCTGGGTGCTACAGAGCCCAGGACTGTCGTTTAGAGAAGACAGAGCCCAGTGAGAGCAGAAGCTTTTAGGGTAAAGACAAAAGATCAAACTTTTATAGTCTCAGAAATACTTGGCACAGTCCCAAAGCCATGAGAGCCTTTAAGGATTACTAACTTCCTTGCTGTTGGTTTGTAAGAGACAGAACAACTTTTTCTCGTTTACTGTGTAGCCAAGTCAGAAGTCAAGGGATGACAGAAGCCTTGGAATACAGAGAGTGAGACCACTGGGAATATTCCCCCAGGAATAGCTCACTCCTGCTGCAGTACCACGAGCTTCCTGACTGGCCGCCATGGAGCCAAAGGGGAGAGTGACTGGTAGTGTCATTAATTCATGAAGATTTTGCATATTAGTCTTGGTAGCCCTAGTAACTCAAGTGGTTTGAGGAGATAAAGCTCAAGCCAGGAAGACATCCTCTGGTACACTCACCTGGTAGTCACCAGCGTGCCACACAGGTGTTACAACCTGCAGATAATCTGCTCCCTACCTCCTACGACAGTGCCGTCGAGTAGAGCGTCCTGTGATGATAGAGATGTTCTCAACATGCACTGTCCAATTCAACAGCCACTAGCTACACATGGCTGTTGAGCACTTGAGATGTACTTAATGCAACAGAGGGACGGAATTTCTAATTTCATTGAACTTTAATTACTATCTTAAATTTAGAGAGCCACAGGTGGTGAATGTCTACCATACTGGACTACATATTTCCTGAGATTGGCTGACTAGCGAAGGAGAG